ATCTACAAGAACACGTGGGTTAATAAACCTAATTATAAAACACTTAAATGTATATTATTCTGATGATAAAATGAAACAGATTGAGATTATATAGATTTTCTTTTGGCCTAAGGCAGAGGATAGTTATGCCTGGTGGGGATTAGAACTTCAGATAACTTTTGAGACAGTTGTGCACATTAACTTTATAAAAGTAGTTTAAGAACCATCCTAAAGTCATCTAAACACACACACGCACACACACACACACACACACACACACACACACACACTCACTCACATACACATAGATGATTTGATCTAGGCATGCCAAACAATTTCAAAATGCACATGTATGAGCTCAAAAAAATAAAAAATTTGGTGGTGACAATTGGTAGGAGACAAAGAAATACAGAAAACACACACAGTGATACACAAAACAATCACATTAATTTAGAATGCACCTTTAAATCATTTCTTTGTTATTTTCTTTAGATTAGTCAGTTAAATTCTTAAGTAGTTTATAACAGATCTTTAACACAAATACTCCATTCTTTGTCCAATTCTTAACAGATTAATGTAGTAAAAATGTATAAAAACTATATTAATTTAGAAAATTTTAACTACAAGTTATAATTTTTTTTACAGAATGGTAAGATAGTGTTATCCATGAGTTTCCTATCCCTAGGGGGTAGCAAGATGGCATTGAACACGTGGCAGTTTCATCATGGTGGCAGCATTTCCTGTGACCACATGGTCTCTCCAAAGGGTCTCTCAAATGGAACACAAAGACAAGTTACATGTACCATACAGGCTCAAAATACCAATGTTACAGTAATAAAAGACATCTCCCACTGAGAGACAGGTGTCCATATAAATTAGTCATCTTAATGAAAAGACCTAATAATTGAAGAAACTAAGGTAGGATTTGAACTCATGGTCTTATATTTCCTAGGCAGACAAATCCTTGTTAGCCCTGAGACAAGGGAATCTGATCTTGGGGTGAGCATTTCCATGACCACTGCTGTCCATGGGGACAAGGAGAGCAAGAGTTGGGACCAGTTGTCTAGGCCAACAGAAGCATGGCGGGTAGGTGGGCAAGGGAATAAGTCAGAGGAGGAAGAGGGAGAAGGCTGCAGATGGGTCAGGATGCTTGCTAGGGCTATGGAATTGGGTCTTGGGGTGTGCAGCTCCCTCCTGCTGCCACCACTTCATGCCCTAACACACCACTGCTAGGACTAGCTAGGCAGGGCTTCCAGCCTGCACTGAGGGGTGGAGCTGGAAAGCTGGCTCAGGGGCACAGCTGGAAAGTCTGTGCTGCAGTGGGCTTGGCTGCATTGAGAGGCAGGACTGGAGAGTAAGCAAGGGGCTAGGGTGTGACCCTGCTGCCCACCTGTGGGGCTCAGAGTAAGTCCCAGTGTCAGGTGGACAATACCCAGCTCCCAGCTGCTTTCCCTGCGGGCAGAGGTCAGCCCATTCCTCTACTGTACAGAAAGAATAGGAAACGAGTGAATTGACTTTCTAAAATGCAGGGTCTGAAGGCTCACCATTTTTCCTGGCTGACTTCACCAAGTGTTTACAGCACTGGTGCAGTCTGTGATCAGAAGACTTCCAAATTCTTTGTGTCCTTCAGGAAGAATCCATTGCAGGACACGTAGGTGTAAGTGGAGTTTACTAAAAGGTAGGAAAGAGAAATACAAAGGGGAGCATGGTGGGGTGCAGGTGGAGTTGCCTGCAGAGAGAGTGAGCTTCTCTTTTTTAGGTACTTTAAAAACTTATGCTAATCTATGGGAAGGGAGGAACCAGGTGATTCCCATCCAATAATCAATGAATGGGGAGGGCATGAATGGTTCCCAGCCACATGAGGGTAGTCTGGGCTGTCTCTGGGCAACCTACATATGAGTCCCAAACTTTCCCTACTTCTAGCCTGCCTCAAAGCCAGTACCAAAACTGTACAAGAATGTGACAAAAAAAAGGAAAATAATAGACCAGTTTTCTTGATGAATATGGATGCAAAAATTCTCAGTGAAACACTTGAAAACCAAATTTACAACATATTAAAACGATCATACATCATGATCAAGTTGGTTTCATTCCAGGGATGGTACAACATACAAAAATCAATAAATGTAATACAGTACATGAACAGAATTAAGAACCAAAACCACATGATCATCTCAAGGTCTGCAGAAAAAGCTTTTGATAAAATTCAACATCCTTTCATGATAAAAGCCCTGAAAGAACTAGGAATAGGAAGAATGTACTGCAACATAATAAAGGCTATCTGCAGTAAACCTATAGCCAACATTGTCCCAAATGGGGAATAAATGAAACAACTTACTCTAAACTCAGAAACAAGATAAGTATGGATTTTGGGGCACCATGGTTTGGTAAAAGAATTTGCCAAGATGGAGAGTAGGTGAAAATAGATTTATTGAGATGCCACTAAGAGAAGTGACAAATGGTGGGTAACTACGTAAAGGTGCACAGTGCACTGAGACAGGGTTTAGAGTAAGTTTTAGACCTCAGATTAGGCATTTTTGATTGGCCATCCATTTTTGTGGACCTTACTGTTTGGTTGTCTCTTCTTGGGATCATGGTTTGAATTTCTGGCACACTGTTCCATCTGGGCCTCCTAGGGGATTGCATCCACCCCCACATTCCATCTGTTCCTTGGTATTACTTTACTGTGTTTCCTCAAAATGGGGGCCTCTTCCACAATAAGGGTGTCTATTTCTCCACTGTTATTCAATACAGTGCTTGAATTCTTAGGCAATAAGGCAAAAGAGAGAAAGGAAAGGCATAAAAATAGGAAAGGAAGAAGTCAAATTATTCCTACTTGTAGATGATAGGAGTCTATACTTAAATGATCCTAAAGATCTACTGAAAAACTCCTTTTTTTGGCAAAATAGCAAGATACAAAATCAACTTACAAAAGACAGTAGCTTTTCTATTTTTCAATAATGAATAGGCTGAGAAATAAATCAGGAAAACAATTCCATTCATAATAGCCTCAAAAATAATAAAAGGTAAAAGACCTCTACAATGAAAATTATAACCAATGAAGAAAGAAATTGAAAAAGACACTAGAAACTGGAAAGACCTCCCATGTTCATGGATCAGCAGAATGAATATTGTGAAAATGGCTATGCTATTGAAAGTAATCTTTAGATTCAGTGCAATTCCCATCAAAATTCCAATGGCATTTTTTACAGAAATAGAAAAAAATCTTAAAATTCATATGGAAGCACAAACTTCCCTGAATATCCAAAGCAATCCTGAGCAAAAAGAGCAACGCTGGAAGTATTACAATACCTGACTGCAAATTATCCTACAGAGCCATAGTAACAAAAACAACAAGCAACTAGCATAAAAACAGACACATAGACCAATGGAATATAATAGAAGACCCAGAAATAAACCCACACAGCTATAGCTATCTGAATTTTTACAAAGATCCCAAAAATATACAACTAGAGAAGAGCCTCTTCAACAATGGTATTGGGAAAATTGTATATCCACACATAGGAGGCTTAAACTAGACCCCTATCTCTCATCTTGTACAAAAATAAATTCAAAATGGGTCATAGATCTTAATGTTAATGACCTGAAACTTGAAATTTCCAGGGGAAACACTTGAAGATATGAGCCTAGGTAATGACTTTTTGAATAGGATTCCAATTGCTCAGGAAGTAAGAATAAGAATTTAGCAATGGTACTGCTTTAGATTAAAAAGCTTCTGTACATCAAAGGAAGCAATGACCAGAGCCAAGAGATAATGTACAGAATGTGAGAAAATCTTTGCCAGCTATTCATTGGATAAAGGATTAATAACATAAAGAGCTTAAGAAATTAAATACCAAAAGAATAAATAAACCAATTAATAACCAATAAGTACACAAATTAATTGAGCAGATGGCTTTCAAAAGAAGTACAAATGGTAAATAAATACATTAAGAAATATTCAGCAAGGCACAGTGGCTCATGCCTGTATTCCCAGCTATGTGTGAGGCACAGATCAAGAGGATTATGGTGTGAGGCCAGTTTTGGCAAAAAGTTAGGTCACATTTTAGCAAAAAGGCTGGGTGTTATGGCATTCACCTCTCATCCAAGCTACACAAGAGGTATGAGTAATAGGATCATGGTCCAGTTTGACCCATGCAAAAATTGCAAGACTCTACCCAAAAATAACTAAAACCAAAAGGACTGGGAGCTATGACTCAAGTGATAGAGCACTTGCTGTGCTAGGTCCTGAATTTAAACCTGGTACTGCCAAAAATAAAAATTAAATAAAAATTTAAAAGTGGTCCACATCCTTAGCCATAAAAAATGCAAATCAAAACAACATTGAAATTCCATCTCACCCCAGTCAGAATGGCTACCATCAAGAAAACAAACAACAGCAAATGCTGGAAGGATGTGAGGGAAATGGAACCCTTCACTGTTGAAATCAGCATGGTGGTTCCTCAAAAAACTAAAAATAGAACTATCATATGATACCACTCCTGGGCACACATCCAAAGGCATGTAAGTCAGCACACACTAGAGATACCTGCATACCCATGTTTATAGCAGCACTACAGCCACATGTGTCTTAGCTGCTGATCCTAAGTGGCATTTCTTAACCACGTGTGAGAAGGGGTGAGGATTCTTCTGTTCACACTGATTGTTGAAATTCTTTCAATTAGAATAACATCCCAAGCTGTTCATGTTCTTTCCCATAGTGGGCACTTGTGCCTTTCTTCTCAACTGTCTTGGCCAAATGCCTAGCTATGCAGGAAGCATAAATAGAAGAATCATGGTCCAGGCCAGCCAGGCATAAAATAAGACCCTATCTCAAAAATAGCCAAAGCAAAAATGACTGGTGGTGTGGTTCAAGTGGTAGAGCACCTGCTTAGCAAGCACAAGACCCTGAGTTCTACATCTAGTTATCTTCTCTCCTCACCCCAAACATTCCCCTACCCCTGATAAAAAACCCCACAAAAGCATGTTCTGTTGGTCTTGAACTTATCATTATTGTTCAGGCTTACAAGGAATGGAAGATCATTTCTTCATTCACACCTTCATCATCTGACTCAAGAGAGGAGAACTGGCCATTGGTTGAAGTACCCCTGGAGAAACCTACCTCCTCTCAGGCCCGATCCCTCATGGTGAATCCAGAAATGTACAAGGTGAGTTTCTGCCATTTGTCCACATACTGATTTGACATGGAGCTAGTAAATAAGGCTTGGGTGGAAACATGACATGAAAAATGGAGACTTGCACTTGGCTGGTTATCCTTTACATCAACAGTGAGGAGTGGGGATGGAAGGGAGATGCACCGATTTCAGTACCAGGAACTCAATTTTTCTAAGCAGAGAGCTGGACTTGATGGATACAGTGTTCTGAAAGTGGAAGGGGAAAAGTACTTTCATGTTTGGCATTCATCTGTATTCCGAATCTTTTAAAAAAAATAACCTCTTCTCTCTCCAAACTCTTCTTTTAAAATTTTCTTGTAAATTTTAAAAAATGACTTTAATTATGACTTTTTCATACCTATATACAATGTACTTTGATAATATTTTCACTCTCCCAGTTTCTTTTTTTCCCTTTCACTTATTTCTATCCTCAAATAGTCTTCATGTTCATATTCTTTTTTTCTTAGGTCTAAATTCCACATCTTTCTGAGTCTGGCTTATTTCACTTACATGTTGATCTACACTTCCATCCACTTTCCTGCAAATGACATAATTTCATTCTTTTTATGGTTGAATAATACTCAATTGTGTATATGTGCCACGTGTTCTTTATCCATTCATCATTTGTTGGGCACCTAGACTGATTCCATACCTTGCTATTGTAGTGTTCCTATATACGTGGGGGTGCAATTGTGTTTATTGTATCGTTGACTTATATTCCCCTGGATGTATGCTCAAGAATGGTAGAGCAGGATCACATGGTAGTTCCATTTTTAGTTTCTGAGAAACCTCCATATTGATTTCCATAGTTTGTTTTCCTGATTTCTTCCTTAGTCTCTTCATTATTGGTGTATAGAAAAGCTACTGACTTTTGTACGATGATTTTTATTTATTTATTTATATCATTTTTACATTTACTCTCATGTATATACATTGTTTGGGCCACCTACCCTCCCCACCCCCACTTCCAGGCAGAACCTGTTCTGCCCTCTTGTTCTCTGATTTTGTTGAAGAGAAAACGTAAGAGATAATAAGAAAGACATACTGTTTTTTGCTAGTTTGAGATAAAGATACCTATACAGAGAGATTCCTGGTGTTGTTACCATGCATATGTGTATTATACCCCACATTGGTTCATCTCTATCAGACCTCTTCACTGCTTCCTAGTCCCCTTCCCATAGTGGCCTCTGCCAGTTTAAGACTACTATATTCGCTCCTCTACAGTGAGCACATCAACCACATTCAAGTTTTAGGTTTCCTTCCTTTTCCCTATTCCTCCTGTATGCATTCTCCCCTTAGCATGTGATGCATATCCAATAATATTACTGCATTTGTTTCAGGTCTGTAGTCTACATATGAGGGAGAATGTGTGATTTTGGCCTTCTGAACCTGGCTAACTTTGTTTAAGATGCTGTTCTCCAGTTCCATCCATTTATTTGCAAATGACAAAATTTCATTCTTCTTTGTGACTGAATAAAATTCTATTTGTATAGATACCACATTTTCTTAATCCATTCATCAGTAGTGGGGCATCTTGGCTGTTTTCATGACTTGGCTATTGTGAATAGTGCTGCAATAAACATTGGTGTGCAGGAATAACCTGAGTCACATACCTTCGGGTATATCCCTAGGAGTGGTATTGCTGGATTATATGGCAGAACTATGTTTAGTTTTTTAAGATGCCTCCATATTGTTTTCTAATGTGGTTGTACTACCTTACATTCCCACCAGCAGTATATGAGCCTTCCTTTTTTCCCGCATCCTTGCCAATATTTGTTGTTGTTGGTGTTCTCGATGATCACTATTCTAATAGGAGTGAGGTGGAATCTTAGTGTGGTTTTGATTTGCATTTCCTTTATGGCCAGGAATGGTACTTTTATGTGTTTTTTTTTTTTTTGCCATTTGGACTTCTTTGAAAAAAGTTCTGTTTAGTTCAGTTGCCCATTCCTTTCTTTCTTGGTTCCTTGAGTTTTGGGGAGTTTAGTTTTTTGAGCTCCCTGTATATACTGGGTATTGGTCCTTTGTCTGATGTATAGCTAGCAAATATTTTCTCCTACTCTGTGGGTGGTCTCTTCAGTTTAGAGACCATTTCATTTGATGTGCAGAAGCTTTTTAATTTCATGTAGTCCCATTTGTCCTTCCTTTCTCTTAGTTGCTAGGGGCACTTGAGTTCTACTGAGGAAGTCCTTGCCTATACCTTTGCTTCAAGAATAATCCCTACTCTTTCCTATAGTCACTGTAAGGTTTCAGGTCTGATCTTAAGGTCCTTAATCTACTTTGAGTTGATACTAGTACAGGGTGATTAGCATAGATCTAATTTCAGTTTTCTGCAGGCAGATAAACACTTTTCCCAGCAACATTTGATGAAGTGCCTGTCTTTTCCCCATCATGTGTTTTTGGCACTTTTGTCAAAAATAAGGTGGATGTAGCTGTGTGGATTCATTATCTTGGTCCTGTATTCTGTTTCACTGATCTTCACATCTGTTTTTGTGCCAGTACCATACTGTTTTTATTGCTATGGCTGTGTAGTTTAGTTTGAAGTTACGTATTATGATATCTCCAGCATTGCTGTTTTGCTCAGTATTGCCTTGGCTATTCGTGGTGTTTTGTGTTTCCAAATGAACTTTAGGGCAGATTTTTCAATCTCTGTGATGAATATCATTAGGATTTTGATGGGAATTGTGTTGAACATGTAGAATGCTTTTGGTAGTATAGTCATTTTTTACTATGTGGATTCTGCTGATCCATGAGGATGGGAGATAAATCTTTCCACCTTTTGTACTCTTCTTTGATCTCTTTCTTCAGTGGTTTGTAGTTCTCCTTGTAGAGTTCACTTACAGCTTTTGTTAAGTTTATTTCTAGATATTTGATTCCTTTTGAGGCTATTGCAAATAAATTGTTTTCCTATATTCTTTCTGAATTTGTTCATTGTTGGTGAATAGTAAGCCTACTGATTTTTGTAAGTTGATTTTGTATCCTGATACATTGCTAAAACTGTTTATGGTGTCTAGGAATTTTTGGGTGCAGGTTTTTGAGTCTTTGAGGTATAGGATCATGTCATCTGCAAATAGGGATTCTTTGATTATTTCTTTACCTATTTATATTCCTTTTATTTCTTCTTCTTGCCTTATTGCTCTGGCTAGGAATTCCAGGACTATGTTGAATAGCAGTGGGGACAGTAGGCATCTTTGTCGTGTCCCTGACTTTAGGGGAAATGGTTCAGTTCTTCCCCCATTAAGTTGGCTATAGGTTTGTCATATATACCCTTTATAATGTTGAGGTACATTCCTCCTATTCCTAGTTTTCTTAGAGCTTTTATCATGAAATGATGTTAAATATTATCAAAGGCTTTTTCTTCATCTGTTGAGATGATCAAGTGGTTTTTTTGTCTTTGCTTCTATTAATGTGCTGTATTACATTTATTGATTTGTATATGTTGAACCATCCCTGGATCCCTGGGATGAAGCATGGTGAATGATTTTTCTAATATGTTGTTGGATTCAGTTTGCCATTATCTTATTGAGGATTTTTGCATCAATGTTCATTAAGGAGATTGGCCTGTAGATCTCATCTTTGAATGTGTCCTTGTCCAGTTTTGGGATGAATGTAATACTGGCTTTATAGAATGAGTTAGGCAGTATTCCTTCCCTTTATATTTCATGAAAAAGTTTAATGAGTGTTAGTATTAGTTATTCTTTAAAAGTCTGGTAGAATTCAGTGGAGAATATGTCTTGACTTGAACTTTTCTTTATTGATAGACTCTTTATTGCTACTTCAATTTCATTACCTGTTTTTGATCTGTTTAGGTGATTAATATCCTCTTGGTTCAGTTTTAGATGGTCATAAGCATCTGGAAATGTGTCCATTTCTTCAAGATTTTCAAATTTATCAGAATATAGGTTCTCAAAGTAGTGTTTGATGATTCCCTGAATTTCCTTGGTGTTTGTTGTTATCTCCTCTTTTGCATTTCTGATTTTACTGATTTGGGTCCTTTCCCTCCTCATTTTAGTCAGATTTGCCAGGGATTTGTCAATCTTGTTTATTTTTCAAAGAACCAACTTTTTGTTTTGTTGATTCTTTGTATGTTTTTGTTTTTTTTGGTCTCTGTTTCATTAATTTTGGCCCTTATTTTATTCAGCTTCCAATTGTTTGTGTATTTTCTTCTGTTGTTTTTGTTGTTGTGTTCTAATTTTAATGAATTGTGACCAGATAGAATGCAGGGGGTTATTTCTATTTTCTTATATTTGCTGAGGTTTGCTTTGTGCCCTAAGATATGATCTATTTTGGAGAAAGTTCCATGGGCTGCTGAGAAGAACGTATATTGTGCTGTTGTCAGATGAAATATTCTGTAGACATCAATAGGTCCATTTGATCTATGGTGTCATTTAGTTCTAGGATTTCTTTGTTGCTTTTTTGTTTGGATGACCTATCTCTTGGTGATAGAGGGTTATTAAAGTCTCTCACTAACACTGTGTTGGAGTCTACATGTGCTTTTAAGTGTATGTTTGATGAAATTGGGTGCACTGACATTGGGTGCATTTAGGTTGATAATTGTTATTTCCTTTTGATGTATTGCCCTTTTTTAAGTGTCCTTCTTTGTCTCTTTTGACCGATGTAAGTTTGAAGTCTACTTTGTCTGATATAAGTATTGCTATTCCTGCTTGTTTTGGGGGCCATTGGGCTGGTAAATCTTGCAGCCTTTCACCCTAAGCCAGTGTTTATTTCTGTCAATAAGATGGATCTCTTCGAAACAACAGATTGTTGGATGTTCTTTTTTAATCCAATTTGCCAAACAGTGTCTTTTGATGGGGGAGTTTAGTTCATTGACATTCAGTGTTAATATTGATAGGTATGTGGTGATTCCTGCCATTTAGTTGTTTTTGTTGTGTAAGGATTTAATTGTGTGCTGCTAAATCAGTGCTATTCTCTGCTTTCTTGTCTTTTCTTCTCCTGTGGTTTGATACTACCTGTCTTCTTGTGGTTTTGTTTGCTTT